CCTAAGTAGTATATTATCCTTATCTATGTGGAATAGCTATTATATCTCTATCTATGTATACATCTATGTTTCTTACCATCCAACTTCCCTCTCTGCTCAGTTATTTGTTCCTATTTCTTCTACCTTTGAGTGATTGTTACTCGTGATACCTATATACTATGCATGGAAATATTTACGTACACAGTATAGAGGGAGTTACTCAGGAAAGTTTAGGTTATATTGATTTCAGTAAGTTTAGATATCCAGTTATTATTTAAATACAAATGGAATATTGTATTTCTCAGGTGAACTTAATAAGCAACATTGGCGAATCAAATTTGTTTGATTCGTTATAAAATATCCACACCACCATCTGCTGGTTACACAGATTCTTCCCCCAGACATATACTCTCCTCTGCTCTTACAGCTGCCAAATAAGATACTTTGCTTTTCCTGTGCCTTTCAATGAACTCCAATGTATGCACAAACGCGTTGGAACTCTGTTGGTGGCCATCTTGTTCGTGAGAATGCATATTTTTCTATACATACAATATTATGTTCCAATCAATGCTGCAAATTTAGATTGCATAGTATAGAACATGCTTTAATATATAAGAAGAAAGAAAAACAAAAAACAAACACTGTAGCGAAGATACAATATTCCACAGATTATCTCCGCTTAAGATCCCAGTGAGGCTCAGGAACAAGTAATTATAAATCCACAGGCAAGGTTTCCAGCAGGTAAGATAATCCAACAGTATCCCAACCGCAATCCCAATAACTGGACGACACACAGCATCAGGAGCAGCACTGAACACCTTTATTCCACAGTGGCCTTATATAGCATGCTCCCATGCAAGGGAGGGACTTTCATCAATTAGTACAGTACCCAATCCGACAATAGTAACCTCCCACCTATCTCCTCCCCTCAGCATGACTCATAATCCCCTTATACTGTACACAAATTCCCCCAGTTTCTGGATGTACCCCCTAAACCTAGGGGTACCCCTTTAAATGGCACATCCCCTGGTAGCCCTGATCGGGGTGAGCAACATATCCAAAAATCACCCAGATCGGACCAGGGGTTCGGGAAATTTATGGAAATACTAAAAAGACCGACCGCGCTGGAGAGAACCGACCGCGCTGGGTTCCATGCGATGGGGCCCTGCGGTTGGTCCCAGTATAAGGGAATAAATAAGGGAATGGCTAAAGAGATCAGGTAAGGTTTGCATGAATCCCCTCGTTCGGTTGTTTCTGTCTACCGAACGAGGGGCCGTTCGGTAGTTTGGAACCGAACGGACCGGGTTTGTGGAGGTCTCAGCGGTGTTCGCCTAGTCGAGTGTCCGATTTGAGTTCCAGACACTCGATGGCAAAACACTGCTGTTCGGGAGTTTTAAAATGGCCGCCACCACGTGTTCGTTTCCCGAATGGCGGCCACCCATCGCTTGTTAATTACACGTTCGCAACATTGTTGCAACGGGTAATTGAAGGCACACTTTACACAGGGGAGGTCTGATTGTTCGGTAGTTTCATTCCCTTAGTTTATTCGAATGATTCTACCGAACAATCAGATGAATACACTTTATTTCAACACATACAAAACCAGCAGTTTACACGAATGCAGTTAAACACATGTAATTTTCAGGACAGCCCAGTGCCATCCGCTACACTGCTCCCCCTTGCCCACAAGCCGGCATAGACAGTCTGATCCAGCACGGATCGGCTTGGGGATGTCCGGGGGCTCACGGATCACTTTTCCAGGTCAGTTTGTCTCGACAACCCGTCAGCATTCCCATTCTGTTTACCCGGGCAGTACTGAATATTAAAGTCAAAGGGCTGCAGCGCCAAGCTCCAGCGCAGCAGCCTGGCATTGTCCCCAGCCACCCGGTTCAGCCATACCAACGAGTTGTGATCCGTGAGCAATGAAAAGGGCTGTCCATACAAATACGGCTGCAGTTTCTTTAGGGCCCACACCACAGCCAGGCATTCCTTCTCGATGGCCGTATAGCTTACTTCGCAGGGTAGTAACTTGCGACTGATGTAAGCCACGGGATGTTCTCCGCCATCGGCCCCGACTTGGCTCAGTACTGCCCCCAATCCAAACATAGAAGCGTCTGTGTGAACAAGAAAACTTTAGTTGGATTGGGAGCTGCCAAGACAGGGGCCTTTATCAGTGCATTTTTCAGATGTTGGAATGCCTGCTTACACTCCGGGGTCCAGGTCACCTGGCGGGGCAGATTCTTCCGGGTCAGGTCAGTGAGGGGTTTGACCAGGGCACTATAGTTAGGGCCAAATTTTCTGTAATACCCAGCGGTCCCTAGAAATGCTAAAACTTGGGTCTTAGTCCTAGGGGTGGGCCACTGGGCCACGGCCTCTACTTTGGCTGGTTTGGGCTTCTGCTTGCCGCACCCCACTCTATGTCCCAGGTATTGCACCTCGGCCATCTCTATACTGCACTTGACCGTTTCAATGTCAAACCAGCCTCCCTAATCCTGTCTCGGACCGCTCCTATATGGGCCAAGTGCTCCTGCCACATATTGCTAAAAATGGCAATATCGTCCAGGTAGGCACAGGTATAGTCCTGGAACCCATCCAGGAGTCGGTCCACCATCCTCTGGAAAGTAGCTGGGGCGTTTTTCATCCCAAATGGCATGACCAAATGGGGTGACAAAGGCCGACTTAGGGATGGCATCTGGGGCCAGGGGAATTTGCCAATACCCCTTACATAAGTCAATAGTAGTGAGGTATTGGCCCCTGGCCATCCTGTCCAGTAGTTCATCTATCCGTGGCATAGGATAGGCATCTGACACGGTTTTCTCGTTCAATCTCCTGTAGTCCACGCAGAAGCGAGTCGTACCGTCTCGCTTTGGTACGAGCACTACAGGGGAAGCCCAGGGACTGTCTGAGGGCTCAATCACCCCCAGTTGGAGCATCTCATCGATCTCCTTGTGCATATTCTCCCTCACCGCTTCCGGGATGCGGTAGGGGGTCTGGCGCATGGGTAGTTGCCCTGGGGTCTCTACCCGGTGAGTGGCCAGAGGGGTGTAACCAGGTACATTAGAGAACGTGTCTCGTTTCTCTTCTAATAGCTGCTGTACCTCGGTACGCTCCTGTGGGCTCAGCCGGTCTCCCAGTGCAACCTCCCCTAAATCTCCAGACAACTGCCCATCTCCCAGCAGATCTGGGAGAGGTAAGCTGTCAAACTCGTCAGAGTTGGACGCACATATGGCGGTTACCTCCTCGGAGCGCTCCTGGTAGGGCTTCATTATGTTTACATGGAGCATGCGTCGCCCTCTAGTCCCTGTGCAGGGGCCGATTATATAGGTGGTGTCACATCTCTGTTCCACCACCCTATATGGTCCCTGCCAGGCGGCTTGTAGCTTGTCATGTCGGACAGGTCTTAAAATTAACACTTTCTGCCAGACCTGAAAGCTACGGTCCCTGGCTCCCCGATCATACCACGTGCGCTGGCGGGTCTGCACCGCCTGAAGGTTTTCCCTTACCGTCCTAGTGAACGCTTCCAGGTGGTCTCGTAATGCCAACACATATGGTATGATGGGAGTGCCATCTGCGCTCCGGTCCCCCTCCCAATGCTCTCTAATCAGATCTACGGGGCCTCTGACTCTCCTCCCAAATAGCAGTTCAAACGTTGAAAACCCTGTGGACTCCTGCGGCACCTCCTGGTAAGCGAATAGGAGATGCGTCAGGAATCGCTCCCAGTCCTTGTGGGTCTCTGCGAAGGTTCGTAGCATTTGTTTCAATGTACCATTGAACCGTTCGCAGAGCCCATTAGTCTGGGGGTGGTAAGGGGCACTGATTATAGGCTTAATGCTACATATCCTCCAGAGGTGTTGGGTGAATTCTGCGGTAAATTGGGTACCCTGATCCGAGATAATCTCCCTGGGTAATCCCATCCGGGAGAAGATCCGCATGAGGGCATCCGCGACTGTTTCAGTGTGGATGTTGGTCAGAGCCACTGCCTCTGGATATCTAGTGGCATAATCTACTACAGTTAAAATGTATCTTTTGCCTGACGGACTAGCTTTCTTGAGGGGGCCTATCAAATATACTGCTACTCTACTAAAGGGTTCCTCAATTATGGGTAGGGGGTGTAGTTTCACCTTCCTTTGGTCTCCCCTTTTCCCTACCCTCTGACAGGTATCGCACGTATTGCAATACCCGCGCACTTCCTGGCTGATCCCTGGCCAGAAGAAACTTTGGGTCAGTCTGTACCTAGTGTGACTGACCCCTAAATGTCCGGATAGCGGAATATCATGCGCTATCCGGAGTAACTCTGCTCGGTACCGCTCCGGCACCACTAGCTGCCTCATCACCATCGGGTCTGACCCAGCAATCTGCTTGTCTGTCTCCCTGTATAGAAGCTGCTTGTCCCAGACAAATCTCTCTCCCTCACTCCCCCCCGGGTGAGTCAGTGACAACCTTGTCCCTATATACTTGTAGTGTAGGGTCGGTTACTACTTCAGCTGCAAATTCATTAGGTGGGGCCCAGGGGACACATTCTAAGGAAGGGGAAGGGTCTCTTACCTGAACCTCCGGGAATGTGTTGTAGTCCTGGGTGCGGGCCTGTTGTCGGGTGACCACAGGGTGAGCTTCTCCTGTGGTGGGCGTCTGGGGCTCAAAAGCAGACGTGAGCCTCCCTAGATCATTCCCCAACAAAACCTCCGCTGGTAACTGCGGCATCAACCCCACCTCCACGTGTCCTGACCCCAATGCAAATGTACCCTTGCTGTAGGTAGCCGGTACACTGCTCCCCCGGCTACCCTGACGGCTATAGTTTTACTGAGCTTAGCCTGATCCGAAACCAGGTGACTCTTTACCAGGGTGATAGTAGCTCCTGAGTCATGTAGTCCTTGGACCGCTTTACCCTCCAAGTTTACCGTCTGTCTGGTGCTGACGATTATCAGCATTGGCTTGGACTGGATCGGCTTTGTGCAAAACTTCCCACTGTTCCACGGTGGTAATGGGCACTGCTGAACCATACGGTGTTGCAACTATGTCCTGGTAGCAGTGTGCTGTGGCCGCTCTTGGTGGTGGTGGTGGGCCTGGTCGGATCCAGGTGGAACGATCCCGTAGTTGTGGGCATTCTCTTTTATAATGCCCCCATTTCTGGCAGTGATGACAGGCCCCAGAGCTCGGCTGGCGAAACCGTGGTTCTGCAGTGGGCGGTGCTGGCAGTGGTAGTTGCCTTGGTGGTGCTGGGGTGTAGGTGGAAAAATGTATGAAAATTACAGATTTACTTACCTTTTTCCAACTCCATCGGCGCTGCTTACGTAGCCTCCTCCAGCATTGTCTGATCCAATTCTCCTCATAGAGTACAATACTTTCTTATGGTGGCTTCTGCATAATATGACAGTGTTTTACTTGGTCAGTGCCACTGGAGCAGCTTTAGGGGCTGAAAGTTTGATAGCCACTCAAGGAGGATTTAACCTTGCAATGTAAAAATCTCAGTTTTGCCAAAATTGCAATGTTTTACATTGCAGTAGTGAAAGGTGAGGACCACTGCATCCAAGCCACAATGCTGAGATGAAGTGACCTGCATGACTCTAGTGGTGCTTTAACTTCTCTATTTACACTAGGTGCCCATTTCACTTGCATTTGACCATTTTTCTGCCCAGTTACATTGTTTTCATCTGGCTTGCTAATTTACATTTTGGAATTTTTCCCTTATGATGATGTTGTACCTGTAAAAGCTACATTTTATTTAGTAAAAAAAAAAAAGACTTCAATAGTCGAAACGCGTCAGTGCTGCTATCGATGTTTTCTACTCTTATGCACTTTATATCCCTGTTTTATTTCCTATGTCATTAAAGTTATAAAATATCCCCACTTTCCTGGCATTATTTCATCTGCTGGATCCTGGCACCAGTGGACATATCCGGAGGAGTGGTGGAGTGGAAAAAAAAAAAAAAGTGGGTTTTGGAGAATCTGAGACCCCCGGAAGTACCTTGTATAATGCCGCAAGCTGCAAAGACCGCAAATTTTGGCGTGTTCATCTCTTCAAAGCATTGAATGGGACACTGGTCTTCTATGTGGTAAAGGGAGTTTTTTTATTGGAAGAAATAAAGATCATTTTATTCAGCTGGCGTCCTGCTGTTTTTACTACCATCAAAGCCCTATGCTGTGGATTACATGTTGGAAAAGTTAGAGCAGACTTTTACTGCTCTTTCCTTGTGAGTTTTATTCTATTTCTCTTGGTTATTTTATACAATTTTAAACAGTATTATGCTATGTGCTTTTTTCTTTTTTATGTATCATATCTCCTACTTTGGAATTACCAAATGCAATTTACATTGAGACATATTTTCCTGCTGTAAGTTACTATTTGTATTTTTATCACTATTCACTTGCAATTTTGCACATTCGTTATATTGAGTGTGATTTTATGGAATAGACACTTCTTATTGCACAAATTTTTTTGCATTTGTTGCACTTTAAATTTTTAAAGGTACAGCGCACCTTTTTTGTTTTACATTTTATTTAGTGCCTATAATTATTTGTTAAACGCATAGTCATTTACATTTGATGCTCTGTAATGTGATACTATATAATTTTTTGTTAATTAAGATAAACAGTCTTAAATAAAAATCACAACAGAACGTACCAGTACAAGGAGGAAGTATGCAAATCCTTATTGTGTCAGGTTTATTGTCAATACAGTTTTTACTGTCATCAGAACTACACATTACTTGACGTTCTTGAGTACCGTTGGAACATGTTACAGAACACTAAAATAAAAAATATATTTTTACTTTCAGATCACAAAATACTTTACAGTGTAAAATAATACAGGCAATGAAATTAAACATTTTAAATATACCCCTAAAAAAAACAAAAAGTAAAAAGGCAACTTGCCTACATGTTATACATAACTATGCATATGTTCTGATGCTGTTGATCAGGAAAAAAAAAGTGAAAAACCCAAATCAAAGTTATTGCCAGTTGTGTCATAAAAGGTAAAAATCCCTTGTGACTCCATAATGGAAATCCAGTTTCTCACTGGATTAACAAGCTGTACCCAAATGTATTAATTATATGTTAAATATTCTGCTTTTCATAAAAAATAAAAAACATCCTGTTTATTATTTCTTTTTTGTTTTCATGGACAACAATACAACCTTTTTTTTTTCAATTCTGTAAAGAATCTTATAAATAAACTTTTTAGGCAGATGACTCCACATCTTATTGTTCCTACTGTAAAAAAATGTCCTCTGTTGTTTGCAAATTTGAATTCCTTCATGTCTCAATGTATTACCTCTATCTCACTGTCAATGATAAGATTACTAGATAGGTCTTGTACTTAAAGGACCACTATAGTGCCAGGAAAACATACTCGTTTTCCTGGCACTATAGTGCCCTGATGGTGCCCCCACCATCCTCCTCCTCCTCTCCGCCTCTTCAGTTGAATGCGCATGCGCGGCAGGAGCTGTGCGCGCATTCAGACTGTCTCATAGGAAAGCATTCACTAGAGGCTTTAGAGGCTGGATTAACCTATTTATAAACATAGCAGTTTCTCTGAAACTGCTATGTTTATAAAAAAAAAGGGGTTAACCCTAGCTGGACCAGGCACCCAGACCACTTCATTAAGCTGAAGTGGTCTAGGTGCCTATAGTGGTCCTTTAAGAGGTATAAAGTCAGGACGGTGCGTGGGCAGACCAAAATTGGCAGTACTACCCAGAAAGGGGATAGGGCACACGGGGAAGGGATTTGTCAGTCTGTTGTGAATGCACATCAGGTTGACTGACAGTCTCTCTGGCTGTGAGGGCACTCAAGACAGACTGTGCAGAGGGTACTACTGTTACACTCTCTGGGACGAGGCCTTTTTAGTGACTAGGCATCAATAGATGGAGGTCATTTTGACTACCATGGGCTTTTTTTCTAGTTTATTTTAAATATTGTTTTATTGTGGTGTCTGACTAGCAAGCACTGGCTTTAAGTAAAAAAAAAAAAAAAAATGTCAGTGTGTTACTATGACTGTTAATATAAGTTTTCTGTGATTTTGTATTAATGTATGTATGTTAGAGTGTGTATGAACATGTTAGGTAAGTGTGCCAGGAGCTAGTTATGCATGTGTGTATGTGTGAGTAGCTAATTACATGTATGTGAACTGACAGGTCTGTGTATACATGTTTAATTGCATATTCATAAGTGGCTAGTAATATATGTGGTGGTGGTGTGAATGAGGGCCCTGAAAATTTCAAGGTTAACAACTCTCTTCAATTTGAGAAATAACTGATATAGTTTGCACATACCTGTGACCATGGACCTATTCTCCAGTGAGCTGGGCAAGCTTGGCGATTACAAGGTCTTTTAGCTTCAGGACGGTTTTCATTGCAGTACTTGCTATGAACTGATCGATTTGTATTGTCACTTAGGGGCTGAATACACCTCACTGTACGACTCTGATACCCTGATTTTCCACATGTCACAGAGCAAGGCTCCCATTCTCCTGTAACCCATCTGTTTGATGAAAGAAAAAAATATTAACTATCAGTGTCAGTGCCTAGAAAAAAATATTACATTGAATAGAAAATAATAAATTATAGTTATAGAAAGAACATTTTTATTGTGTAGATTAATGTTTTGCTTATACAATGCTACTATTTAGCTGGTAAATGTTCATGTAACATGTCTAAGCTTCCTCTATGCTGGATACTACTGAATTCAATTATTTACTTGAATGAACATTTCAAGCACCATAACCCCTAGATCCCACTGTAATGGTCATGGTGCCAAAAATGCCCATTTTAGAATGGTTTGACAATGTACCACAGTACCCAAAATGCATTTGCCTGCAGGAGAAGTTGGATAACTATTCAGCTATGTACAGCCGCTAAAGGACCAAGCTTGTTGATTAAGAACGCTCTGCTGACACCTTCAGGCAATAAATGCAGTTCTGCATGGCCCCGGGCAATAAATGCAGTCCTGCATGGCCCAGCTTAATTCTGAAAAGCTAAGTGGATAACCGGAGAACCCCAACAGGCTGCGGGCCTTCAAAAAGGACGAGATAAGTTATTGAACTGTACTAAAACGTTTTGCCAAATCACACTTGGATGGCTTCAGGGTACTCCTGGCACCCTAGCCACTACAGCAGGTTGTAGTGGTTGTGGTGCTTGGAGTGCTCCTTTAACCCCTTAAGGACCAAACTTCTGGAATAAAAGGGAATCATGACATGTCACACATGTCATGTGTCCTTAAGGGGTTAAAGAAACACTTCCATCCCCTAAATTACTTGCTGAAGAACTGTAAGGGATAACAGTGTCCATTCTTCCTTTCTTTAAAAAAGTGTTGACTACAAAAAGAATGAAGCACTTTTATATCATCAGGCAACTCTTGGGGGGTCAGGCATGCTTGAATATACACTGTATTTTGTTGGCTCTTCATTCTTTCTCACATGTTCCATTTAATTATTTAATTAAGAGACAAAGTAATGTTACAAGGGAAAAACATATGAGCAGAGACAGTTGGTACACGATAAAACAGGAGTAAAATCAATAACCAACAATATTAATACGGGTGACCAAGTTCTTTTTTAATTGTGGGAGTAGTGAAATAGATTTGTTGAAGACAAGAACTTGTCTTGCAATACAATGTGCATCCAAATTATACAACCAAAAAAAAGGGGGGCATATGAAAGGTATGGGGATTAATACCCTTAAAAACACATCCTACATGATGATATAGTTGAACCAAGGGCTTCAAGTCTTATGGAAGGAGGTTGCAGATTGCTGCAGTCAGTCACTTCCCAAAAAGAGTGGGTAAATATATTTCAGCCAAACTGTTATTTTTGTTAAATAGTGTCTGAGAGTGGGACAGGACATTTTTGATTGGCATTTAACAGTAATGGAATATAGGTCACAACTTGCACCAAATATCATATTTGTAATAGAACTGGTTGTGGCACAGCAGATCTTTGAATATTGTTAAAAATTGGTTACATAAAGAAATATGGCCACCAAATCATGTAAAGGTTAGCTCTATATCTGGGATCACCATAACTATTAATTACAACTATTTTTATTGCATGACTACACTAAAGATGCAATGAAAGGGTTACTCCAACCTCCATGACCACTTCTGCTTTAAGAAATGATCATGGTGCAGGCAACCTGTATGTGAAGCACTTCTGTTTGACATAATGCATATATTTGTATATTTGTTCCAGGGTGTAGTTACACACTCAGTACATGTGACTTAGGCAGCACAGTACTCTATTCTGAATTGCCTAATGTAAGTGTCAGTGCATACAATATGTCTGTGTTCAACATGCAGTGCACTCTTTGTGATGGGCATAAATCATCTTCTTCCCATTTAGGCAGTCATGTGAGCATGCCTGCTAGTAAAAGCCTATAAGACTGTGTTCACAAGGCTTGCGTGCACCAAGTCCAACTAAACGTCGATTGCAAAAGATGTCTCGTCCCTCCTTCATGCAAGTCCTCCCAACCCTCCCCAACCCACTAAATGATATTTCAATTGTCTTTTCGTAGTCCACTCCCCTTATACATGAAAATTCATCCCCTCTTTCACTTCCTCACCTACTCATTTAATCCCTCCCAGCTGTCTGTTGCTCCCTACATGCTCTGTCAATCATCTATTTATTTTGTCCACTCCCTTTGACCACCTCTTTAGTCCACCCCAAATCCCGCCTCCTCCAATTCAGGCATGCACTCTGAATCTGTAACCTGTGAGATTGTTCCAATCAAATGCCACTCTATGAGAAGGACTTGATTGACAATGGACATGACATGGAGAAGATTGGTTAAAAAATTGATAAAAGGAATGGAGCATTTCAGTTATGAAGAAAGGTTAAAAAATGTTAATCTCTTTAGTTTGGAAAAACAGCACCTCAGAGGGGATATGATAACATTATACTAATATATTTGGGGCCAGTACAAACTATTATCTGGATACATATTCATAAGCAGGGCTATACATAGGACACAAGGTCATGCATATAGGCTGGAGAAAAGGAGATTTTATCTAAGGCAAAGAAAAGCTTTTTTTACAGTAAGAGCAATAAGGATATGGAATTCTTTGCCTGAAGAGGTGGTTTTGTCAGAGTCTATACAGATGTTTAAACTGCAATTGAATAAATACTTGCAAAAACATAACATACAGGGATATTATTTCTAATTAGTGGGGTAATAGCTGCTTGATCCAAGGAGACATCGGACTGCTTTTTTGGGGTCAAGAAGGATTTTTTTCCTAGTTTGTTGCAAAATTGGAAGCACTTCAGACTAGGTTTTTTGCCTTCTTTTGGATCAACAGCAAAAACAGATGTGAGGAATGCTGAACTTCATGGATGCAAGTCTATTTTCAGCTATGTAACTATGTAACGTAGTCCGGTGCTAGATTTCAGTAATTTTTTAAGCTTATTTTACAGATTTTTAAGAAAAAAGTAATTTACACCAAAATAAAAGTAAAAAAAAAGGTTTGGAGGAACCCTTTAAAAACATTTTTGACCAATACAAAATGGCTTTCAAAGCACATATTTGATTGATGCCTCTTGAATAAATTTGTATATAACTTGACATGACACCACAAGCAGGTTCAAACTATTTTTTTTTCGGAACTAAAAAGGCACAAAAAAACACATCATAATTTGCACACAGCAACTCGCCACAGATATAGGTATGTGACCTCTGACTCCCCCAATATTGCATTTGATACAATAGGAATACATATATAACACTTTGGAGTTTGACTAAAACCAAATTATAGTGAACTGAAAACCAAATTGTATAATTTAGCCCACTTTAAAGGACCACTATAGTGCCAGGAAAACATACTCGTTTTCCTGGCACTATAGTGCCCTGAGGGTGCCCCCACCTCAGGAACCCCCTCCCGCCCGGCTCTGGAAAGGGGAAAAGGGTTTAAACTTACCTTTTTCCAGCGCTGGGCGGAGAGCTCTCCTCCTTCTCTCCTCCTCTGTTCCGCTCCGTCGGCTGAATGCGCACGCGCGGCAAGAGCTGCGTGCGCATTCAGCCGGTTTACAATGCTTTCCTATGGATGCTGGTGTGCTCTTACTGTGAAAATCACAGTGAGAAGCACGCAAGCGCCTCTAGTGGCTGTCAATGAGACAGCCACTAGAGGCTTTGGGGGAAGGCTTAACCTATTAATAAACATAGCAGTTTCTCTGAAACTGCTATGTTTATTAAAAAATGGGTTAACCCTAGCTGGACCTGGCACCCAGACCACTTCATTAAGCTGAAGTGGTCTGGGTGCCTAGAGTGGTCCTTTAAAGCTGGTCTGTCAATTTTGGGTGGGAAGTGGGTAAATGCATATTTCGCAAAGACCTCTGAAACTGAGAGATCAGTTGCCATGGGGTGCAGGGGATGTGTGTTTTACTTACCTATGACTGTCCCTTCCAGTCACCGCTATCGTAACGCTTCAGATCTCTTCTGCTCCTGTCTTTTCAGCTGCCAGGAGTCACGACAGTGCCATAGTCTTGCCCCAGTCTATAGAGTATCCAACGGATCCATAGACAATGTCTGAATCCCATAGCCGTCATTTGTCATGGCTGCTGGAAAGGGAAGAAAGTCTACAGAGCAGCTTCTTTTGTCTACCTCAGGCTGTACTTATGACAAAGTAGTCCCTACTTTGTTTTATGGTATCTTTGGATTGCATTGTAATTTCAGTGAAATCCCAACACAGTCTTAATCAGTATTTCATTATTCACAATTATGAATTTTTATGGAAAACTGAAAAGTGACAAATTCATTGTAATGTTCGCTTACAACGTTGTCATTACTTTTTAGTGTCCAGCTGTTACTCATTCCCTATTATGCATGTTAGGGAGTAGCAACTGTTTCCTGTCTGCAAAATTTGCAAAAAAAGTAGCAACAGGGAGTTACCAGTAGCCACTGCTGAAAGTGGTGGCTAACAGCTCACATTATTTTCTGTGGGAGCCACTAACACCAGGAGTTACCGCATGTATATCAATACAAATTAAAGGAACTCTCTAAGAGCCAATAAACACTACAGATCACTGTCATAGGTGTTCCCTAGTTCAGTGTTTCACACTGTCCGCCTATTTAACCCCTTAAGGACCAAACTTCTGGAATAAAAGGGAATCATGACATGTCATGTGTCCTTAAGGGGTTAAACCCACTCCTTTAATAATTGCTATCATCTACCACCCCCCTCCCCCCCCAGTTATTCATTGAGCACTTTTCTTCCTGGCTTCCCCACTTCCTCTCATATAGCACTCCTTTCCTTATACTTGGGGATTTCAATATCCCAATCAACAACCCCAATTGCACTGATGCCTCTCGTCTGCTCTCTGTAACCTCCTCCTTTGGCCTTTGGTCCAATTTAGCAACCCATACAGCGGGAAAAACTCTTGATCTTGCCTTCACCAACTTCTGTACTGCCTCTAATCTCTCCAATATTCCTTTTCCTCTATCTGACCACCATCTGCTGATTTTGACATTGGCATACCTAAGACCCAATTGACACCA